AGATCCTATATGAGTGGTATTAGTGTTATATGGTACTGAGAACGTTAGTATGGGTTTATTACTATTAGGTTCATTAGTGAGACACTGGTTAGTAGAATTATCATCAATCCGAACAGTTTTATTCATATTTTCCTGATTTTCGTCAATTAATAGAATGGACTGAGTGTATTGTAGAGCTTTATTAAATGCATTATCAATTATATTGTTAGTATAGCCCCTAGTAATTAAATTAACACATAGGTCTTGAAGGCGTTCACTCAATCTGTTACGGTTAGTAATTAGCCGTACGTATCTAAGGGCTTGGCTATATATAATGCTAATTTTGCAGTTATTAGGGTGAAAGGATTCATTATGTAACAGTAGAGCTTTATCTGTAGGTTTAATAAAAAGGTCAGATTCCAATTGTTTAAGGTTGTTAATGTAAATATTAGTATCAAGAAAATGGACTCTTTCATAGGAGTACTCAATTTCGAATTTAATAGTGGGATGGAAGTTGTTAATATGGTGCAGGAACTCCTTTAGTTTATCAATTCCATGTGTCCATATTGCAAAGATGTCATCGATGAATCTTATCCACTCAAGCGGAATCAATCCACCATGGGCATCCCTTAGCATGTTGTGTTCTAATTGACCCATGAAAAGATTGGCATATGAGGGCGCCATTGGAGAACCCATAGCAGTACCTTGGGTCTGGAGATAATATTTATTATCGAATTCAAAATAATTGTTATGAAGTACAAGTGTTAGTATTTCCTGTAGAAAATCAGTGTTAGCTTTGCTATTAAATCTTTGAAGGTATTCAATTGATGCGGCGATACCTTCATCATGCGGGATGTTAGTGTACAGAGATCTAACATCTATTGTTAGAAGAATAATGTCATTGGGAAGATTATGGTTAAGTTTGAATATACGTCTAAGGAAGTCTGTTGAATCTTTAACAAATGAGGGGATATTGCTAACTAAGGGTTTGAGGAAGTGGTCCGCATATTTCGATAATCTGACAGTGGGGCCATCACATCCAGAAATGATAGGTCTACCCGGGTTGCCAGCTTTATGAATTTTAGGTAGTAGATAAAGGGTGGGAGTTTTAGTTGGTGTGGGGGGCAATAGGAATTTAAATGTAGTGTAATCAAATTGACCCAATTTGTGGTTATTATGAACAAATTGTCGTATTCTAGTTATTAGTTCAGGGATGGGATTTGCTGAAATATGATTATAATGGGTGGTGTTAGCAAGTTGTTTAGAGGCCTCATTTACATAGTCATCTCTTGGCCAGATGACAATGGCCCCACCTTTGTCTGCTGGTTTAACAATCAAGTTGTCATTTTTCTGCAAATCGTTTAATGCAGATATTTGTTCTCTTGAATAGTTTTTATGTATGTTAGTAGGGGTATTAGAGTGCGAGTGTATCTCCTGATAAACTAGGGAAATAAATTCCAAGAGGTTTTCATTATCAGGAAGCGGAGGTGTAAAGTCACTTTTTAATTTGAACGGATGGGAGGGTATATTATTATTAGGAGATTCTTTAAAGAAATATCGTAAATGCATTTTTCGTCGAAAGTCCTGATAGCTCCTGTATATAATCTCTCTATTAGTGGGTTGTGGTGTGGGGATGAATTTAAGACCTTTCGATAAAATTTGAGTGGTTGGTTTGTCAAGGGGTGTGTTGGATAGATTCACCACACTATCCTTAATATGTTTCATTTTAATTTGAGAGAGAATGGCACTTTTACTTTTGAATCGATAATTATTGTTATTTCGTTTAGTGTGCAAATATTTACGTAATTTAGTTTTGGTAAGCTTGTTAGTTAGCGGGGCTTCGTATTGTTTCTCATGTTCAGATGATAGCTGGGCAGATGCATGCGCGAGAGAAAATCCTTCAAATTAGAATTAGTTACGTTAGTGGTTGTGTTATTATTTCTATTCCTCATGTTAGTTGCGAAGGGGAAGGGGTATGGTGTAGGAGTACGTGGGCTAGACATATTTCTGGTGATGGTTGAGCCAACACGTTGTGACCTGACTCTAGCCGGGGGAACTAGAAGAGAGGGCTGTATTATGTGAGGAGACGAGGAACCAACTGTTGAATTAATTCTCCTTGTGTTGTTGATATTAGGATTAATATTATTGGGAGTGCAGCTCATTAGTGGGGTTAATGTTTGGGTAGTCGATACGGGATTATAATTATTATTGGTTAGGTTGGGAATAGAGCGAGACGGGGTATTGATAGGGGTTTTCGCAGAGGAAGTGGTTTTCGTCGACACATAAGGTGGAGATGTATAAGAACCACCATGCGACGCGTTATTAGGGCGTTTATACGGTTTAAATCTTCGGAGGGTTCTACCTTTGTTAGTTTTATCACCAATATCATTAGTGACCTGTATAATATTAGAGGCCGTTAGTTTGTCTGGAGCGTTACTATATATATATTGGTGGGAATTATCTATGTTGCTTAAGAGATTAGTTTTAGTACGATTATGATTCTCAATTAGTATATCAAGGAGAGTATTAGATGTGTTAGTGAGAGCTTCATCCCATAGTTTGCGTAGGTCATGCGGTAATCTGACCCTGCATTCCACCTTAGGTACGAGGCCTGTTGGGGTGGTATTCATCTCCTTGTGCTGCTCAAGCTTATCTAGTAGGGTATTAGTTTTGTGAAGATTAAATTTATAGTTATTTAATGCCGTAAAGGTCCTATGTAAATTATTAGGAATACTGTTAATAATGTTTCTGGTCTGGTTAGTATCTAGGTTAACATAATTAGTATTAGAGGGGTGATGTTTACGTGTAATATCTGGCGTTTTCTGTGTTAAGCCTTCTAGTCCATTCGAGTCTGAGGAGTCTTGGGTATTATTGTTAGTTGCAGTGTCATGGTTAATATTGTCATCATCTGGGCCTAATAACATTTGTTCGGTTATTGGGTCAGTCTCCATGTCAATCTGATCATCATCTTTCATTAATTCTACCATTAGTGCTTCAGTCATTTTATCCTCTACCAATACTTGGGAATGGCTGGTTATATCCTCACTCTCTCTGGTATTGGCGGGTGGATTTACTTCGGGTGTTTCAGAAATTAGGGTATTAGTATCTGTACAAGCATTAGTATCGTTATTGGAGCTCTCAACATTCGTGTTATTGCTATTAATATTATGTTGCATGTCATTGTCATTATTATTATTATGAACAGCGGATTCCGATTCCGGGAGAAGAGGAGGAACTAAATAAATTAAATATCACTTTGTTATTAGAATTGATCCCTGAGTAAACGCAATACGGATAGCAAAATGTAGTTAAAATATCACTATGTATTAACTGTCCGAAATTTCAACGTACATAAGCAATTATATCACACGGCATACAGGTATATACTATTAATTAAAACATGTAATCATGCAAACATATCATTTGTCAACTAATAAAAATAAGCAAGGGTCAAGCTATAAATTAAGAGTTAATGGATATAGGCTATATACTAAACATAATGGGCCATTGTTACGGAGTGGGAGATGGCGGGTCAATGTCATAACTACCAAACAGTACAAGGAGCGTGAATAGCTCTACCGTTCCCTACAAGTAATATCGACATTCATTCATTGGTATGAAATAGGTAATTGGACAAGTACTGGTGTAAGACATTGTGTAGCCTAAATAATGAGGACCAGCAGTTCATACGGTTATCCTTTATTTATTTACTCCGACTCCTGTGATGGTGAACATTTACGCAAAAAACAAGGGAAACTATACGATTAGATAATAACTGAATATGTGAATTTTATGTGACACGATGATGGCGAGCGAGGATATATAAGAGCGAGAGATTGAATTGGAATAGGAAAGGCAACCCTGTACGCGTTTCGACCTAACAGTCTTCTTCAGCAGGGTTTTTTTAAGGGGGGGGTGTAGATAGAGTTTGCAGAGTGAAACTAGAATGCAGGAGAGTTTAGGAGCACTGAACATATGTGAAACCAGAGAAAACAAGTAATTGTCAGTAATTTCAGTAATTGTCAGCGCATGACATTCCATGATATTTTTATTCCCAATGTGGTTCATACATTATCTTTGTACTTGTTTTAGTCCAAAAAGCTTTCTTAATGTTCTATATACTAAAATAACAATATACAGATATTAACTCTTATCCTCTGCGTGGAAAGATCAACGCCAGAACTGTTGTGAACAAACAATGGCCATATCGTATTATTCATTTACCATCTTTGTTTTGGGTTTTGTTGTATATTTTGTACATAATTCAGTTATTGTTTAATCATATTTTTTTTTGTTTAATCATATATAATTTTTATATAATATCAAATCCTGCACGTTGTTATCAATAATTTTCCTCACTATTCAATAATTGCCTCACGCCCCTATCCCTGTCAATCAAGCCACTGGCACCATATTTGGATGCAATCACCTACAGTCACATGATCATGCTACTGAATAAATCCTACTCCACCCCTTCCATCATAAGCATTCAAACTCACTATACCGTTGAGTCAGAGTTAAACATACTTTAAGTTGTGACCATCAATGTAAATAATTAAATACTTATAACCTAGAGGTCTTAATCAAAAGCCTTTGTTTGCATGGTTTCTAGTAGACCTCTAGCCCTATTTCTGTTATTCTATATTTTATATATATATTTTTTTGTATGTATGGGTGAAAACTTTTAAGCAAGATCGTGCTGTGTAGCTATTTTTATAATAAAAATTATTGTGCATTTATACCATACAAATTACATACCATATATACCATACAAATTAATTGAATATTTAATTTACTAACTCTCATTTACTGATTATTTAATGATCTCACTCACTCCTCCATCGCTGCACTCTGTTGTGCAATAGTATGCATGAGTTATATTGTTAGTTAGAATTTGAATATGTAAATTACTATATAATTACAGTATATAAGCCTAGACATAAACGGTTATAGATATATAGATTATTTCATGTATAAGTTATAACACACTCCACCACTGCACTCCACCACCACATTCCTCCTCCGTCCTTCCTCCGCCCTTCCTCCGTGGCCCAGCCCTCTTGCAGGCCCTTGCATAGTAATTACCTGTAGTGTAGTGGTCCCCAATGGGGGTTGCTTTCTGTTCTTAGTTTTTACTTAGTGGTGACAATTGCTTGACCCATGTTGTGGGTGAGCCTTATTGGTTTTCTCACAAGCCAAGTCTGTACATTTCTTCTTGCCAACCTGTGCAGGCCAAAGTTGTACGATGTTTAGAAAGAGCACCACATTCATCAAGTTTGTGATCTGCCAAAAATAATTTTAAAATTTAGTTGTGGTCAACTGATCACAAAATGATCACATAATGAAAAGACACTGACCTGTTTGCCTTGAAATTTAATGAAAAGGTGATAAATTTGAGTGTTAGATAAAGAACAACAGTTGCTCAACGTATTTACAGTCAAAATGTAAAATCCATTTTCAACCTGCTGTTGCTTCCGTGCTAATTAATCAAGCCGGTGTTCCTTTAAATTAAATCCTTCATTGTGTTTATCTAACAGCCTTTTAAAGTGAGATCCACACATATGAGTGGTTCTGGGTTAGAACCTTGTTTGTATCTATTTAAAGTTTTGGGGGACAACCTAATGGCAAATTAAAACATGAATAAACCCTTTAAAATATTAAAACAAACAATAAGAAACGTCATAATCTCTCAGGTTAATGCGAACAGTTATAACACAGTACTAAATCTAGATCCAGTACTGAGTTTCATAAAAATTTAATCTTATCGACAATTTGTTTAAAACTTTCAATACGAACAGCCTTTCCCTGTAAAATTGTGTCAATTTGTATTCTGGGCATAGATGGATTTTGTGGGGGAGGGGGTGCAGGGGGGTGCTACCCCCAATATTAGCTATAACCCCCCCCCCCCCAAACAAAATGTCCACCCTTCCAATTGTTGATGATACAAAATAAACGTAGGAGTACACTCAAATAGAAAAAGACAATACTGTGCAATACTCTGAAACTAATCGCTCCTTGCTTGCATTCACTGATTTATTGGAGCAATTGTAAAGTTTTGAAACTCTCTTATCTCCACTGAATAGAGTTTTCAGTGCCTTGTCATGCAAATAGCTTGCTTGCAAGGAACGTTTGGAATTTTTACGAACATTATTTTTAGTTTTTAATTCTTTTAGGAAATAGACTTGCCTAGATTTAATCTTTACGCCCCAAATATTATTTACATTGGAGTTGCATCATAAATTGTACTCGGATTCAAATGATACAATGTCAATGACTTTATAAAAGTAAAAGCATATTGTGTATTGGGTTTACACTTTTACAGGTTCATTTAACTTTAACTCCCTCAAGTCTCAACAGACAATTGGACATGCCAAATCCATTGATATGACAACTTCAAAAAACTTTTTTTCGCATGCCAAAAAATATTACTATCAAGGTGGACATTTGCCTCTTTGACGCCCGCGTGTGCGTAATTGCAAGTAATTACGATGATGGCGGCTAGTGAGAAGTTTATAGGACTACAGAAGAAGGTTTAACTAAAGCCGATATAGAGTTATATAAAACGCTTGTAAAAGTTTGGCAACCTCAAAATTGTGTGAAATACTCGGCCTTCAGGCATACATACATTATCTTTATGTTGTTGTTCATTAAAGTGTAACCCGCACACCAAAAGCGCAATGCGTCATTCATGTTCACGCGTATCACACTACAAACATATTACACTGCACAAAATACATTACTTATCTGCCTGTTGACTTATATACTGTTCTATTAAATGTATTAATTGACGAGATATTGTGAATCATTATAAACGTCGCTTACAGCTGCGTCGCACGATGATTTTTCGGGAATATACATGCTATATCATGTCATATAAAGATATAATACTTACTACTTATTCATAGTAATGTTAAAATTAATTAGGAAGGTCTTCTTTATTCAAATTGCTTCCCCACAAGCCTTCTTCGCCAAATTCATCGTCGCTTACTGCATCAGTAAACGCCAGAAGAGTAATCCGAGCCATAAACAACTAGATATTAGCCCTGTCGACCAAAACATTGCTAACACAAATCGTCGCAATGACACAAGAAATATTACGCCAAATTTTAACATTTTGGTACCATATTGATCACTGGATTCCAGGCTTTCAGAATCTGTGCGTACTTCTGTTGTTTACACATACTTTAAAGAATACAGCCGCTGTATATTTCAACCACGGGTTCACCGTAGTAATAATCTATATCAATACTGCGGCCGGTCGCTCAAGTTCATGGCCAAAGTGACACAGGAAATATTGCGCGGAATAAAAAGCAAGCCACATAGACATAAAGAGAGTATCGCAAAGAGCATAAAGCCGTGCATACTTTTGGGAAAAGTCAACTATAACTAGGTAAAATTCGGGTTTAGGTGCTAAAAATGATAGTAAATTGCGCGATTTGGGCTTTAAACGCAACCGAATATTTTGGTGATCAAATGTCACAGCATATTTTCCCATGGCTAGAAATCATGATTTTTGTCAAATTTTTCCAGGGATACTTTGTTTTCTGCTCTCTAGATTCCCCCTCGCTGCTCTAGTGCTCCACCCCTAGAATATAGACCTTACTGGGGTTTGGTGACACTTTGTGTTGCTTCAGTCACCTGCTCAACCCCCTAAAATTTCTGGCACCACCCCAGTAAAAAATATGAAAATCCGTCTATGATTCTGGGGCCGGTTGTATAAAAAAGTGATTAAAGTTAACTATAGTTAGTGGAAACGTCTTCCAATAAGAAGCACGTATTTGAGAGTTAATCACTATTTAACTACAAAATAGTGATTAAAAAAGTGATTAAGAGTTTTATACAACCGGCCCCTGGCGTATTAAAATGAGTGCTGGCGCCATAATTCATTGCCGTTTCGTTAAAAAGAAATTTCAAATATAGCCAGCTTATGTGTGTTGACTCAATGACATACGCCAGAAAACGAATCGTACACGATTAATCACAGCGTGTAAACATAGCTTAACTTGGGGAAATGTGGGTCTTACAAATTCTGCACGCACCTGCGTGCAACTGGAAAAATTAGATAGCTTGCAAAATCATTTGCTTCTTAAGCCCAAACAGAACTTGTCAAAAATAGTCTGCCATCCATCAGTAAAAGTTAGTTATAAACTCCGCTATGTTCGATCACATTATCCGGGATTCTGAATGTACGTGAATATCCGATCGGAATTAGTACCATCTCCCCGGGCTTACGCGGTTCGCCCCGAACGGCGGGAAAACGAAAATTATAAAATACTTAGTGTTTCTTGATGACCTTTCGATGATGATTTACCTTGATAACTAAATAAAGTTTGAGTTGGAATTCTTAGTCACCATGTCAAATATAAATGTATTAGCGACATGGGGGTACCGGAAGGAAAAAATTAGGGCACGGAAAGAAGTTTGCCCGCCTTTTTCGGATTGTGCCCGAGTTGTCAAAAAAAATTTTCTGGAGAAACTTTCCAAAATTGTTGTCATGCCGCATGATTGCGAAAAATTCCTATTAGATAGCATATTTCCCACAAAATTGACAGAATTTCCTACAAAATGACAGAATTTGTCCCATTTATTTTTATAATAACCCAATATTGCCGGTCTGTGAAGCGAATATTGCCCAACTGGCTTTGTTTGCCCAACAAACTGGGGGGGGGGGGGCTGCTGCCCTCCGTCAGGTACGCCAATGATTAGCTATTGTTTTTATGGTTATATAATTCGAATAATTAGGTTAGCCCCAGTCCCCACTCTAAATTATGATTTTGGCTTCTTTTGGCCGGATTTGGCTACTTTTTACGTATCGTTTGGCTCTTTCGGGCTCAGACCACCTGGCAACCCTGTGAGAGTAAATTTTCAGAACTTGATAATCGGGCATGTTTGTATATATTGCATACATTGCATATAACAACATAGGCAAGCCTGCCGGGGGGGGGGGATGCCGACAATGTTAACAGGTAGGGCAAATTTTGGCAGAGAGAAATTAAAAATCAAAAAAGTTTCAATACAATTAAAAGGCAATGGTTAGTGATCATTCTTGATTTGTCAACATCCAATTTAACAGATAATTTATTAATTATATTAGTTCACCATTATGATTACCCTTTTTTAGTGAACACAAGGAAAACATTCATAACTACATAGTCACATTCAGTCGCTGTGAAGACTCATACAATGTATGATTGAAAGATCTATATGTGATTACCTGTGGACAATGCAGCCCTTCAGGTATTCGTTTGAAGTTTTGGCTAACAATAATTTGGGTATGGCTAATACTGTTTTGCTCTACTGTGGCTCCGGCTATTAATTGATGAGCAAAGCGAGTATACAAAGAATAGAAGGTCGAAGCCTCAAGGATGCAGTGAGTTGAGTGGTGGACAAAGGCTTGCAAGCCTTGTCTATTTGGTATATCTGTCCTAGCTTGCTAAAAACCGTTACTCTGTGAAAACTGTGTTCAAAAGTATTCTCAGCATTGATTTAGTAGGCAGTATTTTAGAGTTCTATCAAAACATGTGGTCTGAGGAATCTAACGAATTAGTCAGACCACTCACTCATTTTGGTATTGTTACATTCACCGTAACAAGAAAGACTTAATGAAGGACAAAGTTTTTATTTTTGATAATTTCAACCTGCATTTTATTGGCTGAAAATAGCATTGCAAGTGTGTCTCATGATGTCATATACTGAGTTACACCAATAATATGCAAATTGGAGTTGGAGAAACTTGTTGACAAACCAAAGTTGAAACAAATATACCCATAATTCAATTGAGTTGAAATTGTGTGGATCACACAGATTACAATCAATCTCGGTGATGAAACAAAACATCTCACTGACTGACGGCTGTCATGTTGACTCCAGTTGGATTACACAGTGCTTCCACTCTGCTAAAGCATAATTTATCAGTTTGGCCATCTTCTTCCCAATATTTCCTTCCCTAAATCTTCTTTTCCTTGTACATATTCCTATTATATTCTCCTTTTGAACTCAAAATTTGGTATCAAATTTTTACGGAACAACAAAGAAATGCGGTGAAATCATGAAAATACGAGTGCAAGACCAGGCTAAAAATTTCAGCTTGCCATGACTGCAAGTACTGACGAATTACACACAGCCTCTGACAAATGGCCGTCAAATTTAATATTAGCGCTGGCGAAATTTGCCGTTCACCGGCCTAAAACAAAATGGGTGGGACAAGGTGTGGGAGAGGGGATAAGGTTGAATTAAAATTTGGAGATTTTCAGTGTCAATTGGGAAAAAATGTTTACTGGCCCCCACTTAACAATTAAGCCTGTTACACCTGTATTAGAAATTATGTTGTTAAGCATACCTTCATTGTGTCGTACAAACAACTGTTCACTGGTTTTCTGTTTGACTGTTGTGGTTGAATTTTGTGATGAACTTCCATTGCTTCTGGTGACACACAGACTTCAACTTGTTGTTGGCATTGTTCAGTCGGTAACTGTTACTCATTTCAATATCACATGATGGTATTGACTCTTCTTCCACAATGTTATTACTTTCTTCATCCATAGCTGAAAACTCAAATTCTTCAAGATCAATTTGGAGTTCTGCTAAAACATCATCAATTATTGAATTGCTAGAATGTGTGTTATGAAACGATTTGTCGATGGAATTCGATACTTGAATGCCAGCTGACTGGACACTCACAACTTCCATGTTATTGGAAGTGGGCACAAGATCACTGTTGACTTGCATGGAATTCACCAAGGGTAAGTTATATGCAGATTCAGGATTCACTTTTTCTTCGCACTGCCAATAAGGACCTCTAAACAAACATAACCACTTGTGGCCAAAATGCGCATACATTGTTTCTAACCACTTGGCATAGTGATCTTCCATTTTCAACTTTTGACTTGAATGACTTGAGAAATATTTGATGTTGTAGTCCACAAGACCAAAAGGCATCCTTTACAATGGCATTCTTGTTTCACTCTCATCATTATCCTTTCTGTTGAAACATATTGACAAGCCGTAAACCAAATTTTCTTTTCTGTCTGTAGTGTTTTCATTATATCCAGGCTAACATCCAGGAAGTTAGGTCAAACGAATGTGGCCAATTCAGTTCCACCTGATTCAATGACTATTTGTTTGTACAGATATCTTAGTAATTGCATCTTTAACCGTTTTGTCATCGTATTTTGGAATGCAAGAACTAGGTTTTTAACCAAATCCCCAATATTCGATATGGATGCTTTCTTTTGTGGTGAACAGCTGAATATGGGGGACAATGGCTCTTCAACATTTGTTTGTGGAAATTGCTTAGGAGTGGAAGAGATATGGTCTACAAAGTTGGTATCATTTGAAGTTTCAAGCACATAGTCTATTCCAAGAGCATCTTCTGCTTCTGTAAGGATGGGATGGTGTTTTGCCAAATACTTGCTCACTCTTGAACGACATGCTCCACCTATTGAGGCAAAACATTTTGATAAAGTCACACTTTGTAGTAGAATCATATGGAATTATTACAGAAACAGGTCATTAAGAGGATAAATATGACTTGTGATAAACTTCAGAACATTTCATCCTGCTTGGTGGGCTGACTCATTTGCATCTTTACTACCACTATTAAGAACAATTATGCAATGAGCATTGAACTGTTTGGCATGTACACCCTTGTCATTATTCACTTACATAACAGAAATACTTGCTCTTACCAGTTCTCGTTGTTTTGCATATGTTCATTACAGCTTGTGCACAACCATCCCAAAAATGAGGGTTTTTCATTGTTGGCCATTTGTTTTTATTGGCATCTTCCCAGTAAAGACATATATACTGGACAATAGCAGAATCTTCGGAAGTTGTCCATTTTGACTTTTCTGAACTGATATTATCTTTCCCAAACAAACATCTCTTACGAGAAGCTTCTGATTCTGTCTGTGTGCGGACTTTGGCAGGCGGTTTTCCCGGGGTATTGCCTTCTGGAACACACAATCTCTTTTCTGCTACTGATACAACTTCCTATAAAAATAATAAAATTCAATAAATTTTGGATAAAAATTCACTGTCAAAATGTGGGGTGCATTGGGGCGCGTTCAGTCTAAGTCTTTCAACACATATTCTTATAACTATTTCAGCACAATTGGAATAAAAAATGTCCTCCATCAACTCAACATAGCAACACGATTTTTTATGTACATGTACACGATTTTTTATGCACATGTACACGATTTTTTATACTCTCTTTCGCCAAACACAATAAACAAAACACAATAATGAACACTATAACTATTAAACTTTATTAGAAGTTTAATTAAACGAATAAATATCAAAGAAACATAACGAGAATATACGTCCAAACTTACCATATTTTCATTAAAATGCCGCCATCTTCTCTCGAAGTGGGAAATACGGCTACCCATAATTCCGCGGAGCGTAGTATGCACACCGCCTGCTCTCGATAGGAAAGGCGGTGAGAGACAAGAAAAACACAATGCAAGAACAGATTGGTAGCATATACATGAACTATATTTATATTTAGATTCAATTTGCATTTTCGGCTGCTTTTAAGCCAGTTTTCCACTTTGACCGTATCGTAATGTATCGTAGCATTTTCTTTTGTGTTCATTAGTTCCACTCTAGTACTCAGAAAACAAAGAAATACGCTTTGCTACGATACAGTTGAAGTGGAAAACAGGCTTAAAACATCGATACAACCTCGAAAATGCAACCTGGAAACGACATCGATTTTTAGACGTTGAAACGCCGTCGATTTCTAGACATGGTTAAGGACGTCGATTAATCAACGTCAATTCCATTTGCATTTTCAACCCTTTTTCGACATTGATTCGACGACATCCACTTTATACTGTGAGTAGTTGAAACTTATGTTGTCAAGACTTTGAGCGTGTGGTCAGCAGGTTGTCAAGACCTTGAGTCTTTCGGCTGCCAGTAGAAACTATTTTACGGAATATATATCATTAAAATACTAAAATTATAACTATAAAATTATAACTATAAAATTACACTAAACTACAGTACTTTGTTGTCAAGATCGCGTGTGTTTCATGCATGTGTGGAAAGTAACCCTTGCAAAAGTGAAGCTAAGCATTAATGCACCTGAGTATCACCTTGGGGGGCAATATCTACAAATGGTAACTTCTACTAAAGACCTCGGAGTGATTGTATCTAACTGTCGGCAATCCTGTTAGAGGCTAAATGTCAATCCAACACAGTCACAATAGTTTGAGTTTTTCACTCAAAATCACTTTATAAATCACTAGCTGTAAATTCACAGTCACAACAGTCACACTATCACATAATCTCTACCAATAAAATTGATACTCTAAATATATATTATCCTAATTAACTAATATTACCATAATTCTCAAGACACTCCCCCTATTCGTTTTCTGTAAAATGAATATGAATTTATTTATTTATTTAGGGAGGGTTCATAATTTACCTAGAGGGGGGGCTATGGTGATTTTCAATTTTTAGCTATACATTTTTTAATGCCCCCCCCCCCAATTTTGTTGATAACTTTCTTATGGCCCCTCCTTATATGTTTGTGAACAAAGATAGGTGAATTTGTATGACCCCCCCATCCCTAATACTTTATACTGGCCTTTAATTAATACATACTAGAATTCGTTTCTAAATCTGTATATAGATTAAATTTTGACATGCATTACTGCATTATAAATGAAATAGACTTGACCATTATTAATAATGGTCAATTGATATTCCTGCAATGAACTTTCATCATTCATATCAACATAATATGTCATATCTCATATTAAATAATCAGCTTCAGTTTAATATACAGCCTTGGCAAATCAAAGGTTTGATTGAAGATATGCCAGGATTAAACTATATTTTCAGCAATATATTAAATTACTGTTCATCCTATTTAAATATAAGTCAAAGACTACAAGCAAGGACCACAGGGTACAAATCTGTTTAATTTAATCAATGAATTAGGATGCAAACTATAAAAATTAATCCTCATCATTAAACCACTGCATCACAACTTCCCATGCAGTACTATCAAGCAGGTCATCTCGCAGCTGATTCAGAGCTTCAAGCAATCTTTCATTTTTGGAGTAAACAGACAGGAGCTCAACCGTCTCCTTGACATCATCTGCACTCAGTTGTGCATCACCAGTTTCTAGTGGACTGTATAAATCTCCACAAATTGTTGCCCCCAGACGTTTGGCAACTTCCAAAGTGAACCTCTGCAGCCTTTCTCTCTGAAAGAGTGAAATAGTTCAAGTCTAGATAATATTTCAAAATTTTAACAACAAAGCACCTATTAAGTATTATAAATATATTTATAAATGAGATTTTAATACCTTCCTTTTCTTGCCATGATGCTGGTTTTCTTTTATACGTCTGGATGCTTTTTGTGCTGATTTGTCTTTGTACACTTGCTCACTGGGCAAGCACATCATGGATTTCAATGTATTTCTCAATTTTTCAATCGTAGTATCAATTTTTCCTGTGATAAATACAAATTAAATATTACAATGAATTCACAATGTTGGTAGGAAAAACGCTGTTTTAAGCAGAAACACAAAACAGGTATTGAATTGTTAATATATTGTTAATGTTATATAACCCACACACACACACACAACACACACACACACACACAAAACCTCCAATATTTTACTCACCTTTTAGCAGTTCACATGTATTCAAAGCGTCAAGATTATATGGCTCTTGCTCTGTTGATGCCCACTTTTTAATGATGTTATTTTCATCCATCAACCGTTCTTTTCTGTCCTTAACCAACTTGTCATTCAGGTCTTGGACATTTGTATTCAAAATTTGAAGTTCATCAATACCACCCCTTACCACACTAATATTATTTTTGTCAAACTTTGATGGTAAAACTAAGTAATTACCTAGACCATATCCGCCACCTTGCCCCACTGGCTTGTGTACTAATATGTCATACTTTGCCTCAACTTTTGAATGTTACATTTGAATTCCCATCTTTGTTTCCTTTCTGCCTTAAAATAATGTACAAATCTGCTTTGTAGTCTTGCATAAGAAGCGTTGAATAACGTAGCAAAAACGTCATTGAAGAATCTGCGTTTATCATTTAGTGGATTTGTGATAATAACGTTCTCCTTCTCAAACTGTTTCCGTAGTTTTTCGGTCATCTTCACACCTCCAAGGGTTATCTTTGTAGGCGGGACGGTTATATGGACAGACCGTTCGTCATCCTCCTTTGAATCGCTCATAGGACAAAACTGCCAGCAATTTTTCTCTAGTTCTTCCAAGCCACAAAGAAACCTTCGTGCCTCTGCCTTTTTTAAGGGTAGATTATGCAAGTCTTCCTCGCTACGAAAGTCTTTTAAATGTTTAAGTTTGTAGAAACCATCGCATTTCATTATTTCAAGCACATCGTGTTCGTTTTGAATTTCAAGGGATTTAATCCATTCCAACAATTTTACCTCCATTGCTTCTGAATCCGCCATTTTGGAAAGTAGCGAACCGTGGAGGCCTGGTAACAGTAACACGCGCATGCGAACCGCGCAGCGAGGACAGACTGCTGTGCAATGGCTTGCTGGCACAAGATTCTGTCTTTCATTATGTGTTTCACTCAATTTTTTTAATGAATAAAACATGTTAAGAAATTTAATCAGGAAACCACGAGGGTTTGGGCCGGTGCCACACATTGGTAATGGCAAATATAATCAGTGTCATAGTTCATGGCTCAGTTGGTTTATAAACAGATGCTTATCTCCCGTCAGCCGTGACATGAACGAAAAAGAATGTGTTTCATTTTATAATATAAAAGACAAAAGATCGACAGCTGTGATCGGCCATAGTCTTAATAGAGGAGGTCGGGAAGGTACATATGTAATGATTTAATTAGGACTAAAAAATTTTTTGTACAGATGTAAAATAGCCCTACGCTATTTTTTCTTTGCTGATCCTTTAATATTAATCTGTTTTTAATTTTTTGAAAAAGGATGTATAGAAAGATTGAAACCTCATTCGACACTGACCAAGATATTTTGTGCAGCTATTGCCAGTCTTGGTTTTATTTGGATGTCTATTAATAATAAAGTAACATGTTGCATTGAAGAATCCGATGATGACGAGAATACTGATAGTGATACAACTAAAGGGAGAAGGAACCAAGCACATGCAGTAATAAATAAGATTATAAAGTTTTCCAAGAAATCTACGTCTGAAAATGTCCTCGAGTCACTGCAAACTTGCCATTGGCAAGACAACCTCCAAGTCTTACAGGAAAAAATGATTTTGTTAAATAATCCAAGGAGAAAAGAAATAATTCGTGGACTTCAAGCTGTTTTGCAAGAGATGCTCATAGAAGAACCCTTTGATGGACCAAATCCGCGAATAGTTGGCTTCATCCCATTTGATGAGGGTTTTGAAATGTACATGGGATTTCAGTCAGTTCAAAATTTATCAGAACAAGCACGCTACGATTTTCAGTGCGCGGTTCTTCACCCTAAGACAGGTTTATGCGCAAACATTGTGAAATTTCCCAGCTCTGGAAAAAAAGTAATCGTTTTACGCTCAGACAAAAGTCTTGATTTTTCAAGATTCTTTGACTTCCTTGCTCTAAACATGACAACTAGCAGCAAAGAAGAATTTTCAAAAGCGGAGGTTGACTTGATACAAGAAAGTATGTCAACAGAATGGGACAGAAATATGATAAAATACATACTCAGCCGAACTAGAACAGGGAGTGCTATGGAGTCTTTAGGTGTTCGAAGGGAATCCACACAGAAATTGAAAACTCATGTTCCGATGGTTTTGGATGCTGTAAGAAATTCAAAAGTTGTTGGTGAAGATATTGTGCGCAGTAAAATTAACGAAAAATGGAATACATCAGGTCTCAGATCGAGAAAAATGAAGAACTTATCAGGAAAAGATGTGAAACCTGGTCAAAAGTAAGACTGGATGAATTGCAAGATAAGATTGAAGCTGACCAAGATCGCTTGACGGAATTAGAGAATATTCAGACTGGAAGCAGCAAGACACATAAACAACGCTTGCAGCAGATGAGTAAACGTCAAGCACGACAGCTTCTTGCCGTGAATCGAGTTGGTAAAAGAAAACTTGGGGATCAAGGAAGGAAGTCCTTGATTGATAGCGACACAGAAGAGAAAATTGCAAAAGCAATTGAAGACAAAGCGACGTATCATGGACGGCGTCATAACACAACAATGTATACAAACCGTCGCGTAAAAGTTGCTGATTTACCTGGCATTGCAAACCACTTTTTGGCTTTAGCGGGAAAGCCTTTAATCACTTCAAAAACTACTGTTTGGAATCGGTCTGAACCTCGGCGAAAAAACTCTATTCAAGCAAAGCTCCATCTGGGAAAAGGATTATTCTGTACGAAAAAGCCGCCTAAAACCGAACATTGCGAAAATGAGTCCACCCATCACCAGAGGGCTCACGTTAATAATGTTAAAATGTTATTCTTCTCTCGCAGAAATGAAAGCAACCGAAAGTACTGCTTTTGTCGGTCAGTAGACGACAAAGCATACATAAGACCTGGAACAGGCGAAGGAATGAACCACGCTAGAAACCAGAGAATTTTACAACCTACTGCAGAGGAGAGGTCTCGAAAACTTCCTATTCATGATTGGCCAGAGAGGAAAATGTACATAACTCCGTCAGCCCATCGCATCTTTTCTAAAATAGGAGAAACAATTGACGGTACTGAGAAACTAATCACTGACGATGACTACCACTTTGTGTTTGTCCGTCCGAAATTTTTTATTGGCTCTAGTGCACCGTGTGGGCAAGTGAAACAATGAATCTTAGATTCATGTATCCAAGTATTTTTGAAATACCCAATAACAAACACGACTATTCATCTGCGTTTCGATCCATATGCACACATCTACACGACGCAATATTCTTGTACAATGACATGTGCGAACCTAGGGACATTTGTCGTTCGAGGCCTGGAATTCCAGATAATCCACACACGTCTTACGAAAGGCAAAGACTAGAAAGATTATCTGCACGAATTGACAAAGCTTTAAAGGTAAACAACAATGAATGCCTAGAGGACGGTGAGAAAGTCATTTTAGCTTCAAGAATTGAACCATTAGCAAACAAAATCTCTGAGAGACGAATGGTCAGCACCAGAAGTGGACGGAAGGCATCTAGCTTTGTGTTGGGAAATGAATAGGCTTCAATTTAATTTATATTTGCAATTTAAATGCTATTTTTTAAGTGCTATTCTTGTAAAACTTGATATTGAATGTGTTCCTTTTATTCAAAGGATTGTATTAAGTTAATATGAACTAAATCTGTCATCTAGACCTACATAGTTGCTTTCATAGCAAAACTGCATTTCCGCCTAATATTGTAATATCATAAGTATTAATCATAATTTAATATTATTATTTTCTTAATTATGTGTTATGAAATTACCGTAAACCTCCGATTATAAGCCCCCGCCCGAATACAAGCCCCCCGTCTATAAGCCCATCACATTACTAACGTTCACACCATTCCAAATATAAGCTCCCCGAATATAAGCCCACCACAATATAAGCCCACACTACGTTTACTAAAAAAACCTTGTCTTTATAGCTTAATATGCTAATAATTGTTTACCAGAATGCATTAAATGTATGGTTATTCTCCTGACAGTTTATTACTAACACAAACGATGGTCCATGTATAAGCCCCCCGTCTATAAGCCCATCAAAAAACGATTACGAACTTATATAAGCCCAGGGCTTATAATCGGAGGTTTACGGTATGGTATTATAAAATTACTAAATTCAAAATTTAAATGCAAATGAAAACATTAGGAAACTTTTTAGTGACCCCCCCCCCAAGCATCTGCCATATTTCCAGGCAATTTTTGATAGCCCCCCCTTTATTGCAATGTTAAAAAATGATGACCCCCCCTCAAAATCACCATAGCCCCCCCTCTAGGTAAATTATGAACCCTCCCTTATTTATTTATTAAACTTTGCCAAAAACACTTAACAGAACAGCAAATAGACATCTAGACAATAAACATGGACAAAAATGGCAGGGACACCACAACAGTGTAAACCAATTACTGTGGGCCCTAAAATGAATTGAATGAATTAATGAATGAATTAATGAATTGTGTATTAATTCTCTGTCCATGTTTGTTCAACTATATGTAAATTTGACCATTCATAACTTAATAAAACTTAAAATATACTGTATATCTCTGATATAAGGTTCTCTATATGGCTGAATGTATATATATAATTAACGTTCTAATCCTGTTCGTCATCTGCTCTGTCCTGAACATGACAGTCTGCCTATCGCGGCAGCATTCTTGGTCTCGACTCTGGCATCTTCACGGCTACATCACAGGACAGTTCCATTGGGTATAGATGTTGAATTGCCCCTTTCAAATGTGCTTTGTCCTCAAAGTTTCGCACCTCGTACGATACTATCTTGACCAATGGACAAGCCATTCTACAATTCCGATTTTCCACCTTTCCCGATTCTTTTCGTCGCCTTTTACATTAACAATGTCTCTGACCTTTATACTTAAAACTTTGCCGCGATGTTTCATGTTATGCCATGATGCCATGTCGGCGAACCTTCAAATCTATCCTATATTAGTGACAGGTCTCAGCATGTAGTGCTGGTTGGTGCTTTGAGCGACTGGCTCCCAGTGACATCAGGGGTGCCTCAAGGATCCATCCTGGGGTCTCTGGTATTTGCGATCTATGTTAATGATATGCCAAACTACAATCAGTGACAAAACACTTTGGACAAAATAGCAAAAGAGCGTACATTTACAACATAATCGACCCCCCACACCCCCTGTTCAATGTTGTGTGTGGAAGTACCAGCGCAAAATGTTCCTTGCCAGCCACCCAACATTGTTTAGGGTGGGGGAGGGAGGGATAGTGTTTTATGCTGAACAGTATTTGGAAATGCGGAGATATGTATATATTATATCATTGTCCAAAAACCTTTTGTCACTGATTGTTCTTAACTAGTAACTCGAACCTTGCATTATTTGCAGATGACTCAAAGCTTCTTGACATGCTTCCCCTGGAGTTTACAAGAGAGATCATTGATCCGATTCTTTTATTCAAGTATAGAATTTGTCAATTTGATGTTGACTTCAGTCAATTTTGTACACCTGTTGAGATCCGAAGAATAAGTATGTGTGCACTTGACATTATCAACTACTGTCCACTATCAATTCACAATCAAAACTATTATCAGAAATCATATTTTCCAAGGTCCATTGAACACTGGAATAAATTACCACCAAGCTTAAAATGTATACATTTTAGAAAAGTCAGTTTAGAAATCAATCAACAAATAACTACAAGGAAAGTTTAACATCCTATGAACCTCCTTAATATTAATGTATTATATGTATTTGTGTATGCATCTTGTAGTGTCCTTTATATAGAGATTTTAATATTTACTAATGGTAAAGTGGTAAATGTCAATTTGGTATTATCCTGGGTTTTTTTACCCTTTCACAACCATAACCATGTGTTTGTATGTTTGTAGATATATGTACTAGCTATGTATGGTGTTGTAATGTTTTGTGACGAATTTAATTAACTAAACTAATATTCAGAAGACCATCTTTTCCACAACATGTCTTAACATTGGCAGATATACTTTCCTCTCTTGCAGAGATCGAGATTCTCAATTTGATGCCTTGGCTCAAACAACACGATATACGATTATATAAGCATTGCCTTCTTGCTTTCCAGTTTCTGGTACCTAATTGGACCTGTGTAGTCGACTCATACGACTTGGAAAGGCATATAACCCTCTGTTGTGGAATCCAGTTGCTTTCTCATTCCTTATCCATAGTCAGACCCACTCCCCTGTGGAGTATCACATTGTGAGCATGTTCCACTAGCTTCTTGGTGTACAAGTTGTCCTCTGGGAGGTAGGTTGGGAAGTCTCCTTTGTCGAGAATTTGGCGGGAAAGAAAGAAGGCATACCAATTCTCGTAACAACAGGGATGGGGAAAGTTGTGTACCCAGTAGTGGTAGTAAAAGACAATAATGGCATCAAATGTCGGGCATCAAACATCGAGCTATTAAGAGAGGAGCAGAGCTATGCAAAATCACAACTCAGAGTGAAAGCAGGAGAGATGAAGTTGCTTGGTTTACTGTGGAACAAAGTTGATGACAAGATTGCGGTTCGGTTTCAAACAAGCGAAATTTCAACGCCAACAAAGTGTGAAGTGTTAAGTAACATTGCAAAGATTTGCGATCCTCTCAGTGTGGTATCCCCAACATCTCTGATCGGCAAGCTGTTATACAGAGCAATATACGACCAGAAAATTCCATGGGATAAGAAACTTCCTCCAGATCTAGTTGCAAAATGGGCCTTGTGGCAGAACGTGTTACTTGACAAAGTAGAGTTCCCAAGAAGCTTGGTTAACCATCAAGAAGAGATTAGTGATATTAAACTACATGCATTTGGAGATGCTAGCGGTAAAGGTGTATCTGCAGTAGTGTTTGCAGTTGTTGAACAACTGTCTGGTGTTAGTCAAGGCCTGGTGGCTGAAAAATCGTGGTTGGCAAAGCAACAATTAACTATTTCGAGACAAGAGTTGGTATCTGCCCACATGGCATGTCACATGGCATGTAACTTGGTGAACAATGTGAAACAAGCGTTAGAAGGATTTCCAGTGAGTGATGTGCATGGTTGGTTGGACAGCACAGTAGCCCCACATGGGTTGAAAGCAGGTGGTGAATACAAACAGTTTGTTAAAAATTGAGTACAAAAGATCATGGAGAAGGCATACATTCATTGGCGATATGTGAATACCAAAGAAAACCCAGCGGATTTGGGCAGTTGAGGAGGCAGTGTAAAACAAATCGACGCAGCTGTAGCTAAAGGGTCCAGAGTGGCTGTCCAAACAAGAACGTTGGCCTAGCAACATCACCACCACTCCAACAGATGAATCAAGCACCGAGTTGAAGCCAATCAAAGAAATCTTAGCAGTAGCTGTATGATGACAATTTATTCGATAAGCTTTTGGAAAAACACAAACTGTGGAAAACAATCAAAATCATGGCTTGGATACAACGATTCATTTACAATGTTAAACGTTGCAATAGGAAGAAAATATCTGGTATCATCACTATGGAAGAAACAGAAACAATACTGAACTTTTGGATCCTGAAAACTCAAAATGACGGTCAGAACAGTCCAAAATTCGAAGAAGACCGTGCAAGACTTAACCTACAAGAGAAGAAAGAAGGCGTACTTGAATGTTGTGGCAGAATTTCAAGGAGATTTTGCATGGGGGAGTTGGTTACACTATGGCAAAGATATGGGACAAGTATTGGATACCGCGGTTGAGAAGGCTTGTGCAGAAAGTGTTCCATAAATGTAATGGGTGCAAACGATTTCAAGACTATTGCTGGTCCAATCAAATACCGACATAAGAAATCCGAAAAGAAGGATTACATACTGTTGTATTTCTGCAGTTTGACTAGAGCTGTATATTTGGACTTGCTACCCTATCTTACCACAGAAGAAGAGGAAGACCGATAAGGGGAAAACATTCGTGGCAGCTTCGAAATGGGTCAAGAGTGTGATGAAGCATTGCAAAACTGGCTCGTGCAAAATGAAATCAAGTGGCAGTTCAACCTAAGCCGTGCCCATAAATTGTAATCGGAAAATCCTCAGAATATTCAGAGTATAGGACGAGAACTAGGACTGGTTATCCAAAACAAGCATGCGAGAACTGTAACTTCATGCTACTTATAAAATTATCAGACGTGAACGGCAATTTGATGAAAAGGCTATCCTACTTGTTGCCTTAATCCCCTTAATTACCGGCAACATTGTGTATTACGCGTAAGAGCGTTTACACTTCGCATTGCTAAAACTGAATATTTATAATTATTGTGTACAAAACGGGTTTTAAATTTGTCTTTAATTAAGCAATGCCTCCTAAATCTTGGGGGTTTTACAGTGAGCAACAGAGGTTTAGCAACTATACATGCAACAAGGTTATTAGCAAAAACTCCTCTGTCTTAGCAACAATGTAAAAAACATAGCAACATTGTTAGGAATCTTCTCATTTTTCTGAATATCGATACCCTGATGGAATATTTAAAGTCGTGCTAATCCTCACCCCTTCCATACATACCATACAAATTAGTGTATTTGTATTTAAAATAGATCCCCAGTTAGCTATAATGCTAGTTTACACGAGGTCTACGCTATGGTATATTAAGTTTTAAATATATATATATATATATATATATAGTTTACTAAAAACTACGATGCTATATAAAATTTAGTCATAACAATAGCAATAACAGTGCTTATTCGGTATATATATAAAATAAACCACACCAACTGTTTACGAAGAGCAGATTTAAAAGCTCCTTTCATTACTATGTGTTTTGTCTCTACACTTAAATTGTTCCAAATTTCTATTCCTCTTGTTGTAAACGCTCTAGCAAGGAATGTTTAAGTAGTAACTTATCACCTTTACACTTCGATGCGAATCTTGTCTCATGTTCATGGGTAATGATGAGAGGATGAAGTTGCATAAATATAGTAAATGGTTCCTTCCAGTAGAGTGTTCTATGTATAATCATAGCTGTTCTCATGTGTATTCTTTGTCTGACCGTTAGAAAGTTAAGTTCATTGGGTAGTTCTTTTCTGGATTTTTCATGAATTTTACAACCTACGATCAATCTAGCAACTTTGTTTTGAAGTATTTGCAGAAAGTCTAAAGAATTCCGATTCAGAGCTGAACCCCAAACCGTACAGCAGTAGTAGAGTTTCGATAGTATAAGTGCATCCGCAATAGATCTTAAAGCAGTTTTTGGTATGTATTTACTAAATCTATACAACAGACCGAGCGCTTTTGAACAATCCTTCAAAAGACCATCGCAATGGGGTTTCCAACTTAATGCCTCATCCATCTGCACTCCCAGAAGTTTGACACATGATTACTGGTAATGCTTTTGTTCTTCATACTTAGGTTCAGCAGCTGTGCTACTTTAATCCTTTGGCGACCTCCAATTAGGATACTTTTAGTTTTCTCCACATTTAGCACCAGACGATTTTTCCGGATCCATTCCTCGACGTTAAGTAGATCATTATGAAGATTTTCTGATATTAAATTGACATTTTCTGCCACATGGTATTGAGTGCTGTCATCAGCATACAAGGTAATACTAGCTGTATCCAGTACAGATGGTAAATCGTTAATGAATAGACTAAACAGCATAGGTCCAAGACAACTTCCTTGGGGTACTCCACAGACAATGTGCTCACTCTAATTTGTTGAAAATTTAATTTACTCACTCTCATTTACTGAATATTTAATGATCTCACTCGCACCACCACACTTATCCTCCTCTGTGGCCTGGCCTTTTTGCAGCAAGGCCGGCGAGAGGGGGGCAAAATACCTGGGGCGCGGAGTGCTCAGAGGGGCCCGGAAATCTCGGTAAAATGTTAGTATATTGTTTATCATCAGCAATTTCCAGAGGGACAGGGGCCTGTGTTCACAAATCGTCATTATGTCCCCCTTGCATAGTAATTACCTGCATACATAATGATGTGGTTCCCTACAAAAGGGGGTTGAACGGTACCTATATTACTACTGATGCCAATTAAACCAACGACCAATTACAAAACTGGTACAAACATTTGAAAAGAAATGGAAAACACATGAATGTTGTCAACCATTTTTAAAAAACTTTTTAAGGCCGTGAAAGACTAATGGGCCATTCCATTTAATATCCACACCCCCATATGGACCATGTCAGTAAAATTTTAACCCCTAAGAGAAAAATATCAAAGTGCCAACATAAAACACCTCTCAGGAATTTGTAAATTTCCACCTTAACCCATCTGGGGTCACCCTACAGAAAAACTCATCCATATGGGGGGGGGGGGGGTGCATATTAAATGGAATGGCCCAATAAACATGTAATACAGAAAAATTCAGAAATCTCTTTCCCTACCTCAGAGAACATAGGTATTCCTATGGCATACGTTTCTGTTATAATGCACCCAAATATCTCTTGCGTTAGGATCTATATAATATAGTAAAAAAATTAATTCCTTAAATGTGCAAATTTTTTAAGCCGACATATCTGAGACATTTTTCCCGGCTATTAGCTGTTTTCAAACGCGCTAATCGGGTGAACACCATAACTCTAAATGGTTCTCTCTGAAAACTCTTTATAAGCAAAAACGTTATATAAAAAATCCATGATGGATAGTTTTCAAACGGGCGGATCCAGCTCTTTGGTTGACTGATGCCCAAGACCTCACATTGTAGGGGGTTCGGGGGTATCCTCCCCCGGGAAATTTTTAAATCTAGGATGTCGGAAATGCGATATCCTGTGTTCATGCATCAGAGTCACAAAAATATTGGCTGCATTTTGGGAAAGACACGTAAAAAACGTGAACCTATATCACTAAAACAGCATAATTTCTCCATATAAGAAACAAATTAGCTTGTTACAAGTGTGATAGAAGCAGTGGCAATAAGTCTATTCCAAAATAGTGAGTACTGTGCTTCTTGTGGTCCTAACAATTCTAGGTAAATTGAAAAAACATTCCAGCAGAAAATTGTGACAATGCAAATACACATATACTGTGTAACAAAGGTAAAAACAGTGTGCTCCACTAGTTGCATTGCTAAACTCAGAAGTAGGGATACCGGAATTTGGTGGAGGCAAGGGTTGCGACTTGTTGACAAAAGGGCGTATTGACAAGAGGGCACAAAAGGCACTTACCTACTTATAATCTAATTTAAAATGCAAAGAATGAAGCAAACTTTTATTCATTTCAAACATTAAAATAATAACATAGAATTAGCAGAAACTGCTTTTTTGCTTTCTCTTCTACTGAAGAAGGTTTTGTGTGGCAGTTTACTAGGTTATGAAACTAAATTCATTGTTTATAACATATAAATTTAATACACTCCTCCAAAGTAAGCTTTTCTTTGTGAGGATTTTTATATAAATTGTTTTTCTGCTTATCCTATATATCTATTCGTTTTAAATCTTTTGTTAACAACTACTCACAAAGAAATTTAGCTACATGCAGTATGGGACTCAACAGGAATTTGAAGTATATGCCTCCACTTTCACACCAGTTATAATCAAAATTTGCTCTTAAATTGAAAATTTTATAACTCTAAGCTTTCTTACATCTTTGTTCAATAAATGTTTGACTCTTCTAACATCTTTCTCCATGTTCTAAAGAAATCCTGAATGAAATCATGCCAGTAGATCTCATTTTAAAAACGTTTCCAGCACTGGCACTGTTTTCTGAGGTTAGTATATACTGTATAACTTACTTGCATCACTATAATTACTTAGTCGACTAGAGGGCACTCAGAGACTGCATACCTCCGCCCGTTACTCAGAATTTCCTAAGAAATCCATTTTGCAATTCTTAAGCACAAAAGATTTTAGGCCCCTGCGAATGGACCATTCCCCAATTAACCAAAATTTTGATCTCAACAAATCTAGACAAAATTTCATCACGTACAGCATGAAAGAACATCACAAAATTAGTAATATTCCAAAGTTTCGTTGCGAAATGTTGTAAAATGCGGATAATATAGCCTTGCGAAATTTGCAATTTTCAGTCATTTTAGATTACAAATGGGAAATTGTTATATACCACTTTTCCAAATTTTGATCTTTATTTTTTTTTTTTTATTTATTGAATTTGTCACCATACAAAAAAAAAAGAATTACATTGACAAAGATAACTATGTGACAGGAGAATGGAACAGGACTTTCGTCCCACTTGAAACCTAACCCCTTACAATATACGCAATATACTATTTGCCTTTACTCAACAATATACACTATACTTTTGTATACATTTATATACATACATATTTGGAAACGACTAACATGACAAAAAGAAGTTCAGGAATGACTATAATTATTAATTAGCCGGAACAACCAGGAGGACTGTATCTTGATAACTTTAGGCCCGTTTACACGACACTAATTTTTGGCACGGCACTCCAAAATTTAGGTACCCGGACCTGTTTTTTTAAGCACGGCACCCCTGATATTTGTCGTGTAAACAGAAGGTGGGCCCAAAATTATAGCTCCGCGTACCCAAAATTTTAAGCGGGCCGAGACCACCGAAATAGGTGGTCTCGGCCCGTCAAACTAATCGGCACCATGCCCAAATTTTTGCTTTCTCAGCAGTTTGTAAATTTTATCCCGATAAAATTGAGGCGAGAACAAATGAACGGTTCTATGGCGAGAAAAATTAAAGCG